CACATTTTATTGACAATAATATTCGGTAGGTTACCCCCGGGACGCCACTGTATTCCATAATTCCGATTGGATTATGGCTACATCAGCCCCCCATGACGAAAAATATCATTCCCAAATTTCAAGGAAATCGGTGAATGGACATTTGAGATATTCATAAAAAACGATCTTTTTTTAAAGTTTTAACACACTGTATGTTGAAAACTATGCATTTTCGGACCCACGTACATATGAAATAAAATTCTTATTTCATCATGTAGAATCACCCCCTTGATTTTTTGCGCATAATTTCCGGACACCCTGTATATACTTTTTTGGAACATAGCGATTTTCATCACGTTTAAACATATTCTCTAGCCCGGAACAATCTGGACATATTTTTCATCTCACCTTGTATATCCATCAGCAAGAATTAAAATAAATTTTATACTTCTGGAACTACAATCCAAAATTTTTCAATTCTATAATTTATCTTAACAAAATTGCATCATATTTATTAAAATTCGTAAATTATTCTATTTCCAATTCAGGCTATATTTTGCAACACGACCAGTTTAATTCAGTATTGGTAAATATGTTTTCATAAATTCGATTCATAATTATTGCATTCTCACTTTGTTATACAGAGTGGGTCACGGTCGATGGCACCTTAGACGTTTACGGAGAACGGGACATGAGATCATTCTGAAAATTTAGTTAGTCAAGTAATTGCTCTTGATCTATCGATCTAAAATATTTTCAGCAATGCAGCGTTGCTGCTTATACCAGAAAGTAGTAGCATCTTTGTTATTTCCAATGGGATACCCTGTATATTACCGCATTTTTGAACTTATCATCACTTTCTGATTTTTTCTGCCTCATACTATCCTATACCTATCTCTAACGGTTTTGGGATATTGATTATTTCGCATAATTTTTATCCAAAACATAGCTCGAATTGAATGTTTATTTCTGCGGTATTTGGATTCTTAGGAAGTTGCAATTTTGTGTTTAGGTCATTAAGATCATGTATATTGATTCTGTAGAGAGAAGTTTGTTCTGCGTTATACAGGATCGTTCAAAATTCATGATCTTACTGTTAGATACAAAAAGGGTTGAAAGTGCGGTTTTTTAAATAGAGCACCCTGTATATTATGAAAAATCCTGAAAGATGACAAAATTCCCTTCGAATTAATATATCATGATTCTATACCTAAAGGCATGGCATTATGGAAATTGGACAATTAATGCATTAGTAATAATACCTTTGTGTGTTTCTCAACGGAAGTGACTCAAAAAGAATTGAAATGGAGGAAAATAACTATTCAAACGAAGTTCTGATGAAATTGTTTATTCTTCATGGAAAATGTGAGGGAATTATAGCAAGAACGTGCAGAAAATTCAATGAAACGTATCCTGATCTACAACCAATGAACAGAAAGAAGTTATTACAATTACAACATAATTTCATTAATTATGGATCAAAATTGAAAACGGAACGACGTTAACCGAAGCCTATAACTTCAAATGAAGACAACATAATAAATGTTTTGGCCTATTTCCACGGTGATCCCCAAGCTTCAACTGGAAGTGCCAAATATGATTTAGGCTTGGATCGTGCTTCTGTTCGAAGGTTCATTCATAATCATAACATGTACCCATACAAGTTTACGAAAGTTCAAGTTCCAAAACCAGAAGATTATCAAAATAGGGCACAATTTCGCGAAACAATCCTTATTCGCATCCAAGAAGATCCTAACTTCTTGTAAAAAATAATTTGGACAGACAAATCAAAGTTTCCCAGAGAAGGCATTTTTAATAGAAGGAACGGGCATTTCTGGGCTGATCAAAATCCAAATGATGTCAAGGAAATATGATATCAGGAAAAGTTTAGTTTCAAGGTATTTTGCCTTCTAAAGGATAACCGAATGAGTTTTCTTATTTACGATGAAACGTTGAATTCTGCGAAATATCTTCAAATTCTAAGGTCAGTTGTGAACGAATTCTTGAACAATCTGTCATTAGAAGAGTATCGTAGCAGTTGGTTTCAACTGGATGGAGCACCGGCTCATTGCACTAGGGAGGTAACAACGGAGTTGTTCGAAATGTTCGATGATCGCTGGTTCAGACGTTTGGGTCCGTGGAATTGGCCTGCGAGATCACCCGATCTCACACCATTAGATTTTTTCTTGTGGGGCGATTTAAAGAGAAAAGAAGTATACATGACACCAGTGCACAATTAACAAGACTTGCGCCAACGAGTTATCAACTGCATTGAAGAGCTAGATGCCAGTGAAATAAGGAGGGCTACAACTGTATCTCCAAATACCCGGATTTTGAAATGTTTGAGAGTCAATGGTCGGTATTTTGAAAAACTATTGTGAACGTTTTCTAATTTTTGACAGATAATTAATGAAATTATGTTGTAATCGTACAAACTTCTTTTTGTTCATTGGTTGGTGATCAGTATACGTTTCATCGAATTTTCTGCACGTTCTTGCCATAATTCCCTCACATTTTCCATGAAGAATAAAAATAAACAATTTCATCAGAACTTCGTTTGAATAGTTATTTTCCTCCATTTCAATTCTTTTTAAGTCACTTCCGTTGAGTAGCACACAGAGGCATTATTACTAATGCAATAATTGTCAAATTTTCATAATGCCATGTACCATCATGACATTTAATAGCCACCTTAGATGAATATGAAAAAATAATTCAATGTTTTTTTGGAAATGGCTCCTATCTCGGAATTCTGGCTATTTAGGTATAGGAACAAGGAAATATGAATTCGAAGGGAATTTATTCATCTTTCAGGATATTTCATAATATACAGGGTGTTCCATTTAAAAAAACGCAATCTAAATAACAAAGATGCTGCTACTTTCTGGTATAAGCGGCAACGCTGCATCGCTGAAAAAATTTTAGATCGATAGATCAAGAGCAATCACTTGAGTAACCAAATTTTCAGAATGATCTTATGTCCCGTTCTTCGTAAATGTCTAAGGTGTCATCGACCGTGACCCACCCTGTAAACATACAGGGTGTCCGGAAATTATGCGCAAAAAATCAAGGGTGTGATTCTACATGATAAAATAAGAAATTCTTTTTATATGTACGTGGGCTGGAAATGCATAGTTTTCAACGTACAGTGTGTTAAAACTTTTAAACAAGATCGGTTTTTAATGAATATCTCAAATGTGCTTCTACCAATTTTCTCGAAATTTGGCAATGATATTCTTTGTCATGAGGGGCTGATATATCCATAATTCAATTGGAATTATAAAATCCACTGGCGTCCCGGGGGCCAACCTACCGAATATTATTGTCAATAAAATGTGCGCCACTGATTTTATAGAATTCTGTATCTCCATAACCTATTGACCAACTAAATATACAACATTTTGGTCTCTTGAATTATATTGATAATTTGCTTCATTTCAAAAAATTTCTTCAAAAACTGAGGTGAAAATAAATGAGTGATCAATGTCCATAGATATTGAATAAGAATGAAGATTCATTTTCTTCAAATATTCCTTGATACATATTTGACACACTCTACACTCTGTATATTGAGAACAATGTATTCTCGGTCCAGGAAGGCGTAGTTTTCGATAATACAAAGTGTGTCAAACATGTATTATAAAATATTTGAAGAAAATGAATCTTAATTCTTATTCTACGTCTATGGACATGGATAACACATTTAATTTTAACCCTGTTTGTGAAGCAATGTTTTGAACAAATTTATACAATGAATTGGTATTTATTTTTTTCCAAGGAAACGCAGCAGAATTGCAAAGCAATTCAAGAGACTAAAATCTTGTATTTTTAGTTGATCATTAGGATATGGAGATAGAGAATTTGAAAAAATCAGGGGCGCACATTTTATTGACAAAAATATTCGGTAGGGTGCCCCCGGGACGCCAGTGGACTTCACAATTCTAATTTAAAAATGGCCAAATCAGCCCCTCATGACAAAGAATATCATAACCAAAATTTCAAGAGAATTGGTGAAAGAATATTCGAGATATTTTCAAAAAAACGACTCAAGTATATGTGAAATAAATGTCATGTTTTCTCATGCAGAATCATCCCCTTGATTTTTTGCGCATAATTTCCGGACACCCCCCAGCTAGCACAAAAACATTCCATCAATGTTGACGTAATATAACTCTCGGAATTTGAATAGACTGCGCGATGTTCTTTGAGAGTTATTTGGGCTTTACATGTACCGCCAAATGTCCGCAACGCGAGATTTTAGTAGAACATCTCTGGTATGACACAAGAAACATCAATGTTATGTTTGGGAGTTACATTGAGAAAATGTTCTGATGAAACCTTCCTGGGATATTATATGTAACATATAAGAGATGATTACTAGTAACATTTGTGTGATTTTCAATGTGACATCACAAGATAATTAAAAAATATTCTTTTAGAACATTACATAGTTTCATTCATGGCACATTAACGGCAAGGTATGGCGAATGTTACTTTGTGACATAATATAGATGTTTAATGAACTGTACCTAGTATATATTCATTTGCATTTTTGATGAATTAAAAATACGAATTTTCGAATTTATTTTGTCATGTTTCTTGTATACCAGGTGACCCAGGAGTATCCCTCTGTAACTTTCTTAGTTCCACTGACAAAAATATATAGGTTTTTATATGAAACAGCAAAAATTGATATCACCAGAAGTGAGAATGTCTATTCATAGAGATGTCATGAAGTATAATTTTACATGTAATGGATATTTCATTCCAACAACTGAAAAAGTTACAGTGGCTACCCAGCTCCTGGAACATCCAGAATAGAACACCATGACTAAAACAATCGAATCTTTTCACCTATTATTAACACAAAAAATCGTACCCCTAAAGTTAAGCACTTTATCATTTTGTTTCACAGAACTTTCTCATGAGTTCGAAGAATAAAATATTAAGATACAAAATCAAATATGAAATTTATTCAAACAAAAAGTTCAAAATTCAGTTTATGAATACAATAATATTGATTATTCCAACAAAGTTCTTTTATTCAACTTCAGAACCTCCCTAAGCTGCCGCTGTTTTCCGTGCCGAAACCATTCAGCTACATGTTGCTCAAACTCTTTAGCATTGCAGCCCTCATTAATTCTGATAACTCCTAGAAAAAATGGTTCAATTACACCTAACCTAACCTGGTCTAAAGATATTAAGTAAATGGTGTTTCTGATCAGCAAGATATGTTATCAGACAAGAGCCGGATTTTTGCATGGGCAATATAGTTCTTTATCAGTATTGCATATGGAACAAAGTTTCTTACCAAATATGATTCTCATGATTTGTAAATGGCCCAGTTCAAAGTTATTTTTTCGTCCTGTCCAAGAACATAATTCCGATAGGGCATTGGTGAAAACTTGTTTCAACACTCTTGTGATGAAATCTTTGGTGTCTTTTCCACCAATCGATTTTACAAAGTTAGTCTGAAATTAAAATATGAGTATGAAAAACTAAGAAAAGTAATTTTCAATACTTATCTAAAGATAACACAATAATGATAATAATACTAATGATAGCTGATTTTAGTAATATACAGGAAATTTACATCAAAATTGAATATTGATTGAAAAATATTAGAAAACTAAACATATTGAATGAGTCTTTCATCTGAAGAAACATTTGTTAGTGAAACATGTGTTTTAAAGAATCATGTGAAATTCGTATGTTTGTGAAGTTTCAAGTTATAATTATTATTTTCAGCATTTTCAGCAAATATAGTACCCAACAACCAAGTCAATACAAAAAAAATTATAATTTTACTTACGAAACTTTGTTTTCCTTCTTCTGTTTTGACAAAAGCTTCCAGTGCCTCAATTTCTGGAAGACTTTTCAATGGCAATACCATTGGAAATACTATTTCTTTCTCTGTAGCAATGGGGCCTTCGTTCATTCTTTGTTTAATTTCCATAACATCAATCTTCATTTCAATTAGCATGTTCAATATTTTTCCAAGATTTGTGTGAATGGAGTGTATATCTTGATCTTAAATAATAAAAAGTATTTCAAGATTTGGAAACAATAGTTTCCGACTACCATTGTTTCCAAATAAACTCAAATTATTGATAGAAACATAATAAGACATTTTTAATGGAGTGAAATGAAAATCTGTAACCTAAAAACTTTGATTAAATCTGCTTTTGAAAGAAGTTTTCAATAATGAACACTGTGAGAAAGGGTTGATTGAAGATTAGAATGAATATCACAAAAAAATTATTCCCATACAGAAAGCTGAATGACGAATTTTGGCCAAAGTGAAATAAAACGCGGAACTGTGATCAAAAGTGATTTGAATGGTAAAAAACTGATCAAGTAATTGTATGTTGTCACATTATAGGGAATATCTTTAGTGCGCTCCAAGAGATAAAAAAAAATTTTAGATGTGAGAGAAATAAATGAGTTTACCAATAATTGCTAGGGGGTCTGGCATAATCTTGAGGTGAATACTGATGATTACTATCAACAATTTGAGTTCTTTTATACAGGGTGAGTCAATAAATAGTGTGTTCTTCTTCACATATAATTATTTTTATATCTACAGTTAGTTGATGAGATGAGTTTTTTCAAATAGGACAGCCTATATATTATTGGATTTTTAGATTCTCCCTGGAGAGCTGATTTTATTAATGCTTCACACTTGGGGTCAAGTGAGGATGATAGAGATAAAGGGTGTTCAAAAAACGAGATTTTTCAATTTTAGGATTTTTTTGTATTATAACTATTCATCATTGGTCAAAACGGCTTACATGTCCCTATCTCAATTTTGGATTAACTATCTACTGACATTTATTTGGAACAGATACAGGGTGATAAGAATTCTGAATCTTGAACCACCCTGTATTTGTTCCAACTAAATGTCAGTAGATAGTTAATCAGAAGTTAAGATAGGGACATGTAAGCCGTTCTGACCAATAATGAATAGTTTCGACAATAAAAATCCTAAAATTGAAAAATCTCCTATTTGAACACCCTATATCTCTGTATTCATTCCGCTAGATCCCATCAGGTGTAATACATTGATGAATTGGGCTCTTCATGGAAAACCTGAAACTGCAATTGTATACAGGGTGTTCTATTTGAAAAACCCAACATCGGACGATATCTTGAAATTCGAACACTCTGTAGGTATGAAAATAATTTTATGTGATAGTTCTCATGAAACCCTATGACTGATGTATTCGATTTTTTTTATATATCTGATGGATTTTATAATATCGAAGGAGAACACAATATTGACCCATCCTGTAATATACAATGTTGGTCCAAAACAACTGAAACTTAAACAACTCACCAACAACCAGAGTGGCAAATGTTCCAGTACTCCCTAAAAAACAGGAATAAATAAAATGTGAAAAAATAAACTTTGATACATACCACCACCATCATTGCTACTGTGGGGAGTGATTGTTCGATCTGCTTCCATTGAGGCTTCCTTCAAGTCTAGATCCACAACTGTTATTTTCTGGGTCCTGAAAAAATTACATTTTCTATCAGGAAAAGGGTTAGTCAAAATTTCAAATACATTTTATACTGTCTAGAAACTGCACAGATTTTTTTATTCAACACAAGATTTTGACGTAGTAAATAATTCAAAAATGTTAGCACCTTCTTGAGTTGTCTTCGGTATTTGGAATGTCTTCACTTTCATTGTCTGTATCTGAAACTGATAAAAATATTTTACTAATCATAAAACTAGTGTGATCACCAAGCATTAGTTGCACCATAGAAATAATGAAGGATTAAAACCTAATTGTATTCAGAACTGATTGAAATATACAAACCTCGATCAGCAATCAGTGCAACATAATCTAATTCTGGGGGCTCAATAGGGATTTCTGCAGTAGTTAAACAGAAATTATTATTCTGAGCAATAAAATACTATTTTTGTTACCACCTTTACTAGCAGGAATTTGTTTCTTCTTTTTTTTTTGCTTCTCCTCTTCTTCAGCAGGACTGAAGTAATCAATTGGCTTTATTTGCCTGAAACCTCTACCAATTTTTTCTTGAGGTTTTCCACTCTTGGCTCGTTGTTTGGCTTCTGCTAAGGTATCTGAAATTTGATTTCAATACATTTTTGTAGTTCTTGAATTGAACTAGTTAAAATCTTCAAGTTAACTTATTACACCAACAAATTAATATAATTTCAGTAAAAGAAAAAAATACTTTGAATTTGTAATCTTATTATTAAACCTCACGAATGTCTTTATGCAGGTAAGTAAATATATCAATTAATCTTATTAAATGCCTACCACATGTAAATTCCAGCTCTATAGGATGTTCATCCCAGTCATCACTTGGAGATACATTTTTTGCAATAAAGATACTGGCATATTGACTAGGAGGCCATTTGCAGAATCTCTGATCTTTGCTGAGCCATGAGAATGGCACTTCAGACACCAATAAGTCTTCCTCATCACTTTCGTCTTCATTTATGAACTTCACAACAGCATAGCTCATTTTTAAATTCGCTCAAAAAGAAAAAAATATGAATAGTATACAAAATCTATAATGAATCGGATATAATTAAATATTTTATGCACCACTCGGCAGTACAGCGGGCGGTAAAGTAGTCCAGCCGGCGGTAAAGTAATTTCACTAATTTTTCAGTAATTTCTAGTAGACTACCGTTTGATCTTATTTCTTCACCAGTGGTATACAAAACTTGGCCAAATGAATTCAAAATAATTGAGAAATTCCATATAGACAGTAAATAAAAAATGTACAAATCAGTCGTTCATAAAATGATGTATGTATTTCAGTCATAACTTGCTTTTATGGCCCTAGGTGTGGTAATATCCCTTGCTTGCGCTTGGGCTCTTACTAACACGCTGCAGTCCATAAAAGCTTACTTTATGCCCTTGATACATAAATAACTATTTCTACCAAAAATGTAAACATTGTGTTCCCAAATTTTGTTGAGGTGAACATATTCCTATGCATTAAAAATAATAGGATCAAATTATTATAAATCTCTTACAAGAATGAATATGTTACTTGCATTCAACAATATTAATATCAACCTAAAACCTAAAATTGCATTTTTAGATGGTATTCAAACATTTTGATAAAATTCCTTTTTGAATTCAACCAATCCTCAATTAATTTATATACAGGGTGTTTCCTAAACATGCGTCATACAATGTTCCCAAGATACAGGATGGTTGAATTTTTGTTCAAATAAACTGTTTTCAGCTGATTTTATTAAAATTTTTACAGATTCTATAACATTCTATAAGGTGTCTTCTAAATTTATTAGCATCAGTCCAGAAATTGAAGTTGCCTGCTCACAGGTAGGATAGATAGGTTTATACATAAGACAACTAAAAATATAAGTTTTATCGAGAGAAGAATTGAAATACAAACTTTTGCATGTCTCTGAACCATTTGAAACTAAAACATTTCAAAATTTTTCAAAAATTTTTCAAAATATTTATTAAACTTTATTAAAAATCTTTATTGAAAAAAATCGACACCCTGTATCATGAAATCGAACTGATTCTAGACATGATTATAGGAACTCTTCCTACTTATTTTATACCAAAGAAGAGGAAATACCCAGTATACTTTATATGAAGTTTTGTAATTTTAGGGTTGAATAATTATCATGCATCAAATGTTGAAATAATCCTCAGAATGATGACAAATTGGTAAAACCACATACAAATTTTGATCTGGCAAAACCATTACTTTGCAGACAATATCTGTTACAGAAAAAACAATATCCTCGCCACCTAAACTGCACAAATGAATTCCTAAAATTCGGGAATCCATTGGATCGCTGAAAAATCCACCAACAGAGTTGAAACATTGACCCCTAATAATGATATTATCATTTGAATTATGGATTTCATTAATTTTAACATATTTACCATTTTTCAACAAGCAATAGTTATTTGGTTCTTTATTGGAAAACAGGTCATCTTTTATTTTCAAGTCTGTGTGATATTTTTTCTCAATCAAATATGGTTTCCTACATTTCAATTTATATTTAATTGTGCTTTCTTGTAAGCGTTTCACTATCTGTTGCAATGGTTTTGCAGATCGCTCACAAATCTTGGATTTCAAATGGAACATGTATGCCTCAGGTGGAAAGGCACTAAAGTTATCCAGACATCCATATTCTAATACATCTTTTGATAAATGGCACAAATTATGGACATTATAGGTTATATATTCCCTACCATATATTTCAGAATATTCTTCTATAAAAGTCTGTAATAAGTTATGAGCCTGATTGTTCAATTTCACACATATTTTAGGTGTCACCAGAATTCTTATTGCACAAGAAAGATGTAAAAAATGCCTATAAATGTGTTGGGGAAGAAAATTTTTGAGGGCCACAATTCCTGTATATAACAAAATCTGTCGAAATTCAGTGGCCTTAAACCTATCCACCTCGGAAAGTATTCGAGGCAGCCTGCAAAAGTCTGAGGTTACACATTTTTTATAAGACAAAAAAAGATCAGACAAGGCATCAAAATTACCTGCTGGTATTCTGACATCTTGCCTACCTTTATGCCAGAAAGCTAAAAGTCTTTTGACCACCCCTAAACAAACCAAGTGCATATAGTCAATTGGCACTTGTGTCACCATACCTATATTTAAACTTTCTAAAATAGAAGTTCCAGTGTGGTGGTCTTCATGAATTTTATTTCTGAATGAATCATCACTTCTCAACTGACTATGTGTTTCTGGAAAAGTCATTCGATTTGAAATATACTCACCCTCTTGAATGCATTTAGGGCAACCATGATAGCCATTATGACTTTTAGTGTATGTAACAAAAGACTTTGCTGGTGCATCACACACAAGAGCATTGAACACTAATTTTATAGGTTCATTTCTAAATTTCAATCCATTTTTTTCTAGGGTAATGAATTCTTCAACAAACTGTTTCAAAAAATCATTTGCTGAAGAAGGCTTTACCCTTCCATGGTAAATGCCAATAACGAATGGTTCTGGGTTGAAATTTGGAAAGGTGCCTTGTGGAAACCACCCGATAATAGGCCAAAAATCACTTCCTGAACTTCGAGAGATGACAGTCCCATCAATATTGATGTTTAATTTGATTTCTTTTGGCAATTGTTGTGTACCTTCTGGTAAAATATCTAAAATTCTGGTAATTTGGGACTCAATACCCATATGGCTGTATGTCCCAGGAGCTACTTTTGAAACTTCTACACTTCGAGGTGTTTTAAGCAATGTTCTTGCATCAACAGGAACATTTATTCTATGTTTGTGCAAAATTTTCAATAAATGCGTGACATGATTTAGTGGCACACTGAATTTCACAGCCCATGAACGTAAATCTTCAATCATTGACTGTTTATCAACAAAATTTGGGTTTGTGCATTCATCACAGGAACAGAAATAAGTGGCAGTTGAATCATGATCAACTTCTACCTGAGATATTAACTTTGATGGTACCAGAGGAACGCTAGTACTGTCCCAAGAACTTGATGCTAACGAATCTGGTGAATCAAAAGGATTTAATAAGGCTGTAACCTCAAAGGGTTGAACTCGATCTGATGTTGGAGTAAGATTTCCTTGCTGTATTTCACTTGTGGATGCTGCAGTTGGAACTCTATCTCGAAGATCAGGTCGTAAAATTGTATCATCATCAGGCACGCTGTTCGATAACTTTTGCCGAATTCTACGGCGGTGCCGCGCCGAAATATTCTTCAATGATTTGTACATTATGAAACTATCAGAAAGTATACTTACCCAAGACACAGCTTCAGGAACAAGCTTAATCGATAGAAATCAATCATTCGATAAATATGTATATTTTACACACACAACACCCTGCAACAACACCTGCTACAACTGATGAGGGGCAAAACGTAGGCTAAACGACCTAATCAAAGCCAAAAGCCATTATTAGTTTGTTTATGCCAAAAGCCAAGAACTAACGCTAGAAAAACCGCCAAACCCAAAACCATAACACTTTAGAGAAAGAGTGAGGTTAGGAAATTTTTATATGTTCTTCTTTTTTGTTATGTGGGACATTCGTGGTTCGTTCGGAAATACATAACATGTTACTTAACATTTTGAGTACAGTGTAATGGACTGGTAATGGACGAGAAACGTTTTGAAGGGATAATAACAGATTATATTACTCATATGTCTACTAGACATTGTGCATGAACATAACTTAGTGAGGTAAATTCAATTCCAAAAAGGTTCATTACATTTACTTCTCTAAAGAACATCTGAGGAAAGTAGTTCATTAAAGTCCCACTAATGTGAAGGTCATGTAGAATTGAAACATCACATTATTCGAAATATGTTTCCTTTGGGAGCGCACGGATACATTGGTAAAACCTTATATTAATGTACCAGTTGATATTACATATGTTGACTTAAACAGAACATTGCTGAAAAGCCCAGTTATGTTTGTGCTAGCTGGGCCTGTATATATATAAAATATACTGATAGTTTGGTCACTTTTGGTGATGTGAACAATTGGGAGGTACTGCTCTGAAATTCGTAGGGCAATTTACTATAGTGAATGTGCATTGGAAACATGTCGTACCAATTCAATCAATATACAGGGAGTTTGGTATTTTGCATTCTCTTTGATCAAAATTGACTTTTTCGGAGAACGGCACTGACCATATTTTGATATTTCGATGGATTACAAAATCAATCATCTCATTATTTCTAACCGCAGTGTTTATATAATTTATTAGGTTCCCTAGATATCTAACAAAATCCATTTTGGTGCTCCTTCATACTTCTGAATGATTATGACGATTATCATTTTTTGCAAGTTTTTGCCTCTATTGTGTTGAGTTTTTGTTAATAAACTACGAACTCTTGTCTCAACATTATCTTTCATTTTTGACGCTTCAACGTGCCCCGTGTTTCAACCTGCCCCAGTTTTCCTACATCCCAAAAATATTACATAAAGATCCCAACAGATATAATTAGTTCCTTTCAACAATCGCTAAATACGGTGTGGGTGATTGTCATTGTATACTCAATGGGTATAACATTGTATGTATGTACATATCATTCCATAACTTGTTATAAGCTCACGGTGTAACAATCAAAATTGACCTCTGCTAAATCTATTCCAGTGCAGGACATGCATAACGTGAATACATTTCATCATTTCTAATATACGCCTAGCGATGGGAGGTTTCTATTCGCAAAAGGTCGGAAAGAAATGAAATTTTGTGAGATGGTAGAGATAGGTTTCCTAATAATAGTCTACCGGGGGGGTTGCCACTCGCGGGGTGAAGTGATGAAAACTCTTGACTGGCGGCGTTTGGTGAGGAATAGCTCTGTTGAGGTAGGTGCTATAGAAAAAACGTTCAGATAAAAGATGTTGGGAACATAATTGTGCTCAACTTCGGTTTCTGCATTTTTTTTTGGCTCCGACCGATACTTTACGCTCTAAGGCGCGCCAATGTTGATTCGATATCAGCATTCTTTAATTATCCCATATCTACGGTCAATATTTTCTATTAGTGTACCTATACACTAACTTTCTCATATTTTTGTGCAAACAATACAATACAAAGAACTGAAATTTTCAACTACTTTGCACACCACCCTTGAGTTAGATTTGTTTTACTAATTATAATATGTATTGTTTATCTGATTGCTGGATGTTCTGCGATCAATTTTTAATCTAATGACTGATTTCCATCTTCCAAATAATCCCATGGTTGAAAATAAGTTTTCTGATGAATAGGAAAACCATCATTAAAATAATTATCTAACAGAAATCATCTACTTTCCACAATGGAATAATTTCATACACATCACTACCAAATGAGTTGAAAAATATACCATAAGGCAAGCAAACAATACCTGGATAGGGAGTTTTTCATTTTTTCTCTGGTCCCTTCGAAGCACTTTACTCGTGTTCTTCCATAAAATTTGTCGGACTGTGTATTTTCGGAAGTCAAATCATCTCAATTTTCACAAAAAAACAACTCACCTCATAAAAATACACGATAGGGAGTTTTTGAAATTTCTTCAAAGCCCCACCTTCATGGAAGACACTTCACTCGTTGGTTTTTTTCATGAAATCTTGCAAACTGGATATTTTTGCGATTCAAATAATATCAATTTTCTTAAATATCCACTCATATTATGAAATATTCTTTCATGAAATCTTGCGGACAGGGTGATAGAGAAAACTTCAAAAAATGTTCTATCGCGTATTTCCATTAGAAAAATTGATTTTTATCGGGTGATAGAGAAAACTTCAAAAAATATTCTATCGCTATTTCCATTAGAAAAATTGATTTTTATCGGCTTCAAGATGATTTGACTCGCGAAAATATTCATTCCACAAGATTTTATGAAAAACACACGATAGCACACACGATAGCAAAGTGCTCCACAAGGGGACTGAGGAAACAATATAAGCACTTTTTATCGTGTTCATTCAAGATATGAGTTGATTATTATTGAAACTAAGAAGATTCGACTTCCAAAAATACCCAGTCCGAAAATGTGTGAAGTGCCGCTCAGGAGGGGGAAGAGATATTTCAAAAAATATAAATCGTTTTTTTCCATGAGATGGATGGTTGTTTGTGAGTATTGAGATGATTCAACTTTTGAGAGCATCCGGTATACGAATTTCAATAAGAAAAACACGGATAAGTGCCCTCCAGGGGCATATTATATCGAATTAATATGGGAGCGCGCTTTAAAGAATCATATCTTTTATAATATACTATGAAGAGCATCAAATCGAGCATGTGCCGATTTATAAAATATTACTCTTATAACAAAAAAGTTACAGTATTGTTTGGTAGCCTTAGTCCTCAATCCGCGAATAAATTCTGATTTTGTTGAAAATTTGCAAAATACCCCCGAATTTTGGCGCGACCTAGAGCGAAAGCTATTAGTCAAAATTGCACACTTTTGTTCTCTACATATTTTATTTGAACTTCTTTTCGATAGCACCTACCCTGACGGTGCTATTCTCCATCAAGCGCCGCAAGTATGAGTATTCATCACCTCACCCCTCGAGCGGCAACCCCCCGAGGTCGCCATCTCAGGTGGACTATCAGGGAACCTATCTCTACTATCATACAAAATTTCATTTCATTCCGACCTTTTGCGATTAGAACCTCTTATTTTGTACCCATCGCTTGGCCTAATATGTTCACATGTCACATCAACCAATACTTCATGATTCATTTCAATAACCACGGTTGAATGACACTAATCATATTTCATTATTTGAATCAATGTTCTCATATTGAACCGCCGTAAAAAATCTTTTGATTAATGTATTTCATCTTATGTAGAATCAGAGAAGTTACGAGAAATGGCTGCCGCAGCGGAATCCCCTCCAAGAGACTCATTTCAGTTCACTGATGATCAAGAATACCCACCACTAACTCAAAACTCCGACTGAGATCGACAAGGAGACACATATGAGTTCACTTTGGAAAAGCTGACAAACAAAGAGAAATTCCAACTCACTTATGTGATGAATCTCATTGTTTGCTTAGTTGAGGATATTGTACTATATATATTTGATTCTTTTTCGAAAAATTATTCTATCCACTTGATATGTTAATGACAATTTTTTCAAAGCTATTGGATACAAAATTATGTTGTTTTATTTTACACGTTTAAATATAGGTGTATTATCAAACTAATTTTTTATTTCTTGAACTTCCTGAAATTCACTTAAACAGAGTGTTTTTAGAAGGCTTGTATAGCACCTGGTTTTGGAACTTTTTTAGATTGGCAATTATCATTACTCTCAAATCTCACGCTTCGCCATGGGTATCCCTCTCTTAGCTGAAAACTTCCACCATCACATGGAAAATAAACACAAAATATCATCAGATTGCTTGCAACAATGGCTACCCCACTATCTGCTAGTTGGAAATTTCAAATATCTTTTAACAATTCTATTAATCACGGATTTGGTCCATTCGACTATGCGAGAACCCAATTTTCTTCTCTTTCTTTTCCAGGAAGAGTTTCTAATGATTTTAAAAACATTGTATAACGTTCTGATAAAAATAATGTTATTTCTTTCTATATATCTGATACGATTTCGCGAAATTCAGTCAATATTGAGGATGAAATCTTTCCGATCAAAAACCTGGTATATGTCAAATTAATTGATATTATCCCGACTGTGATGCTCAATACTTTGGACAAAGTGTGAGGAAAATTCGAAACTCGAGTCAACGAACATTTTAAATTAATTGATTATCGTCAAACTTCTCCTAGAGACATTATAACACAAGTTCTTCGGCTAATACAATGACCTTCAAGTATTGCATATTTGTCATTAAGGCACCTTTCTAAATTTACTCGAGCTATTTGAAATAATTGTTCCTCAAAAAATGATGATCTACTTGCTCACAACGTGCAAATATACTTTGATCGGACAGGAAGAAATTCTAAGAGTCGAATCCACCAAAACTACTTTATTATAAGCAATACTTAGGAACATGTTTCGAAACTTCAAAGCTTCATCGCCATCAGCGTATTATGTTCACATATTACAACAAAATTATTATTATTACTACAAAGTGGAAAAGGGGACCGCAATCAATTGCGGATCACCTCTGTTAGGGAACGTTTTTGGACATGTTGGAAAATTTTACAAAATCAGGTGATCATTAGAAAACCTATAATTTAGTCTCCATGCCGAAGGCTTAGACAAGAAATTGGAGTCAAATTTGAGATGTCAAATATCAAAATTGAATTGTAATATGTGAATATAATTTGTTTCTTCAGAACAGTGCTCTAATGTTATCCATACGCTGATGATGAAGCTATGAAGCTTCGAAACATATGTTTTTAAGGATTCCTTATGATAAAGTAAAGTTTTGGTGGATTCGACTGTAAGAATTTTGTTCTGTGCTATTGCCTTCACTCCACTATAAGATGTATCGCCTCAGATGGTTATACAGGGTCTGGCAGGGAAGTATGGAATATTTGAACGTGTCTCAGAGTATGGTGGATATAAACCTCATGTTCTCAAATTAAGTAGTATGTGATGGTTACGAGTTACCATTTTAGTCGCCATGTAACCGTGGTCGATTGAGCATCACGTGTTTGTTTACATGCTTTACTCCCGAGTTATATATCTAACCAGTGCTTATATTGCTTCGAGCATTTTATTACTTGTCTAGAAACAGGAAAAGTGAGCATATTTACAATTGCTAGAGTGTGTTGACACCATCAGGGTGTTTAATCAATGTGGGTTTGGGCAACCAAAAATTTGGACACTAGAGGCTATCATAGTGTTGAACCAGTGAGTGTTTGTAGTGGGCACTTTACTGATGTTGATACCGGTGTTGAAGGTCGCAAGGGCTTGTTGCACATAATATACCTATAGGTATAGTGACTGCATCTAAATAGTTTATAATAGATTGAAGTATAGTATAGGAATTGGAATGATAGTATAACATAACAAGCAATGATTGATGTAGGGATAAATCCTTGATAATTCTCGTCATATTTAGATATAACCCTTTTCAGTTTATTAAAAAATAAAATAAAGACGCCTCTTACTCTTCACATTATGTTACTGAATTCTTGACATTAGAAGTATGAATACTGTTGAGATAGGTTTTATTTTGAATATCATAGTGTCTTTGTTTTAGTTAGGTTGTCAACACTGAATGTCATGTCAACAAGTCATATGTCAGATGTCAATGTTTTTCTAAAATAGTTAGTCGAATGTTGAGCGTCGTTAAGGTTAGGTACTTTGTTTTTCTACAAATCTTGTTGATTTAATAAATCCCATAAAAGGTTATCAAATCCTGTTTATTTAATAAATCCCATAAAAGGTTATGGGCCCAGTTAAACGTTGGTCGAAATAAGCAGGAGATCGTTCGTCGATAGAAGAAAGAAAAACTAACCTGAAGTCCAAGGTCCAAGGCGTGGTCAGCATTTTTTGGCGGTAAAAAGAAAAAGTTTGTCTTTTCTCTGCGAAACCGTAATAGTCTACAGTGTGTTTTAATAAAGTTTAAAACATGTCTGACAAAGGTGTAGACGTATCCAGCATCAACAAATTTGATGGGCAAAATTATCACCAGTGGAGATTCCAGATCAAGTGTGCCTTGAAAGCAAAAGGAGTTTACAATGTAGCAGATGGTTCGACACCGATGCCAACGTCCGCTGGTGAAGAGTTGAATAAATGGATAAGAAATGATTCCAGTGCTATGTTCATGCTTACAGCTGCTATGACATACACACAGATAACTTTGATCGAGAATTGCAATACAGCAAAGGACATTCTCGACAAACTTGATTCAATGTATCTGCTTAAATCTGAAACAAATAAAATGGTTCTTCATGAACGTTTTCATTCGTATAAGATGGATTTAAATGATTCTGTGGCACAGCATATTGCCAAGGTGGAAAATCTAGCGAAGCAGATAAAAGATGCAGGTGATACAGTTAGCAGTGCAGCGATAATGACTAAAATTCTGAATACGTTGCCAATGAAGTTTAGAAACGTTAGGCAGGCCTGGCTTTCGTTAGACGAATCCAAGCAAACGATTCAAAACTTAACAGCACGTCTCATGGATGAGGAGGCCAGTTTGACATCCATGGAAGAAGCAGAGGTAGCATTGGCAGCAGTTTCAGTGAAAGATGCAGTCAAGAAGAAATCATTCCCAGTAAAATGTTACAAGTGTCATAAAAGGGGGCACATAGCGAAACATTGTCAGTCAAAAGCAAAGGAACAAGCATCCACTAGTTCAGCATCAGCTTTTAGTGTAGAACAGAACACTTTCTTTGAAAATTCCATCAGTTGGATCATGGACAGTGGAGCATCAGCTCATATGAGCTATTGTAGAGAATTTTTCACTAATTTTGAAGATGTTGATGATGCCAACGTGATTTTGGGTAATAATCAAACACTACCTGTGAAAGGAAAGGGAGTAATAAAAATCAGAAAATTACTCAACAACCAATGGTGTGATGCAACTATAAACAATGTTCTGTATGTGCCTGACCTGAAGAAAAATTTGTTTTCTGAAGGAGTTGTGACCGATAAAGGAATGCGAATAACTAAGGACAATGTCAAGGCTGAAATTTTTGACAAGTCTGAGCTTACTGCAGTAGCAAAACGTGATCCAAGTACCAACCTCTATAAAATGATGTTTCGTACAGAAACCATCGAAGTGAATGTCACAACAAGTGAGTCTCTAAAAGTGTGGCATGAGAGGCTTGGACACATAAATGTAAAAACTATTCGTGAAATGGTGTCTAAAGACCTGATAAGTGGTGTAGACTTGAGCAATGTCAACACTTTTTTTGTGAAGCTTGTGCTTATGGCAAGCAACATAAGCTACCGTTTAAGAAAGCTCCTCATGAAAAAATGAAAATTGGTGAGCGCATTTTTAGTGACGTTTGTGGACCAATGAGCACTCCATCAGTGAAAGGTTCGCGATATTTTGTCACTTTCAAAGATGAATTTTCCGGATTTCGTGAGGTGAACCTTATTAAACACAAGTCTGATGTGTTCAGTTGTTTCAGAGACTTTGCAAATAAAGTTAAAAATCATCTAGGGTATGCTATAAAAGTATTACACACTGATAATGGCACCGAATACAATAATCAGGAGTTTAAGAACTATTTCTCCAAGGAAGGTATTCGATTTGAATTTACCGCGCCCTATACGCCTCAACAAAATGGCCGCGTAGAACGTGACAATCGGACAATTGTCGAGTGTGCCAGGACAATGATACATGGAGCCAGTGTTGCCATATTTCTATGGGCTGAGGCTGTAAAAACAGCCGTGTATATTTTAAATCGAACCCAAACCACACAAGCTCCTAACTCTACTCCATTTGAGTTATGGTATGGTGAAAAGCCCCATTTAAGCCATTTGCGAACATTTGGTGTTGAAGCATATTCCTTGATTCCTGAATCCCAGTCAACACACGGACATTCGATGGACATCCATTGGACGTCCATTTAGGATATTTGGGATATCCAGAGAATATCCAGTGATATCCGATGTATATCTTATGGACGTCCAATGGACGTGCCGAGTGGAAGGAGTTGGACTTCTATAGGATATCCTTCAGGGACATCCATAAGACATTTTTCAGGGATATCCATAAGATATTGTTCACAAATATCCATAAGACATTTTTCAGGGATATCCATAAGATATTGTTCACAAATATCCATGAGATATTTTTCAGGGATATTTACTAAATATCCTTAACAATATAGAACACCATGTATATTATTCCATAATGAATTAGGAACTATTATAACGAATTCAACGGTACCGGATTGGATAGGGTTATTTCAAACGATTACGAAGATATTTGCATTCGAAGTTTTCATATGCTCATTGAGGATATGGAAATGTGAATATCTTCCTAATCGTTTGTAGAAATCCTATCAAACACAGTATCGTTGAATTCGTTATGATAATCCTTAACCGATTATGGAAAAAAATACAGGGTGTCCCGTTTGAAAATGCCATCCTCGGTTAAAGTGCCAGTTATGAAGCAAACATGTAGGTACATACAACACAAATAAATAGTTGATCTTTGTGACATTTATTTGAAAAGTACAACTACCAAGGACAGGTTTGACATTTCCAGAAAAGAAGTTGTTCGTCCACCCTGTTTGTGATAGGAAAATTGAGAATATTCATTATGTTTCATA